CAAACAGCATCACTTTGGTCTTCTTTCATTTCTGAGTTTTCTGTTGTTCTCTTCTTCATCTTGGGTTCAGGTAAGGCTGTATTGCTTTCACAATCAAGGTTTTGTTCATTGAAATGATTTTTCAGACGTCTGAGAGCTTCTTTCAGCTTGTCATCCATTTTTATATCTGCAAATGTCAGAATGTCTTCAGGCACTGAATTTATCCCAACTGATGTAAAAATGTTTGCTGCATGTTCAGCTGAGAGCAAGTTGGCAAAGATGCCATATGTGTAGACCCTGATGCCAGAGGAGTGCTGGTCATTTACAAATGGAGCAACTGTTTTGCATAATTTCTCCGTGAAGATAGAATCCCAGCCATTTATGCCTTTTGTTTTCTGTGTTATCACATACAGTGTTTGCAGAACAGCTACGCAAATGTCAGGTCTCCTTTTTAAGCAACGCTGTTCCAGGAGTTGGGGGATTATAGCCAGTGACTGCTCATTTGGGATGTCTTCCATTGTACATAAAACCATATTTAAACTCGCAACAGCTCTTTTAACATGTGCCACAGGGATGTTTGGAAAGCGACGGATTGCACCTGAGATGTAGGTATTCACATTTTTGGTTTCCTTCAGCCATTTAATACTTCCCTCCCTGTATTTTTCTGCATGTTCACCAGAATCAGTAAACAGCATTTCAATCATGGTCAAATGGGTCTGAGGATCTTCCAGTAGCATGTGTCGATTGAAGGTTCTGAACACGTTGTCAGGTTGTTCTTCTTTCACTGCAATTTCCACATTCAGAAAATATCTGATTTTGGAGAACTGATCATGTCCCCTGGATGCAAAGATATGAACAATCTTAGCTATTCTTTTATTGTGAATCGAAGCTTCAGGACGGTCTACGGGTATCAATGTTACCGAGGCACCAGCAGAGATGAGCGCTTCTATGACATCGTCCCGGTTAGCCATAGCAGCAGTTTGCAATGGAGTGAATATCTGTCGTTTAATAGGAATCCCTCCATTTGGATCAACTTTTGCTTTCAGCAGTTCCGTCACAAAGAAAACTGGTGCCTTGGACAATAAGACATAATGCAAGGGAGTNCCAGCCATTTGTGCCTTTTGTTTTCTGTGTTATCACATACAGTGTTTGCAGAACAGCTACCCAAATATCAGGTCTCCTTTCAAAGCAAAGCTGTTCCAGGAGGTGGGGGATTATAGCCAGTGACTGCTCATTTGGGATGTCTTCCATTGTACAGAAAACTGCATGTAAACTATCAATGGCTATTTTTGCATGTGTCTTTGGGATCTTTGGAAAGCGACGGATTACACCTGAGATGTAGGTGGTCACATTTTTGGTTTCCTTCAGCCATTTAATACTTCCCTCTCTGTATTTTTCTTCAAGCTTCCCAGAAACAGTAAACAGCATTTCAATCATGGTGAAATGGGTCCAAGGATCTTCCAGTAGCATGTGTTGGTCAAAGGTTCTGAACACATTTTCAGGTTGTTCTTGTGTCACAGCAATTTCCATATCCAGAAAATATCTGATTTTGGAGCATAGTTCGTGTCCTTTGGATGCCAAGTTATGAACCATCTCAGCTATTTTTTTATTGTGAACATGATGTATTGGAGGTAACAGTGTTACCAAGGCACCAGCAGAGAGAAGCAGTTTCATGACATCATCACGGTCACAAAGAGCAGCAGTTTGCAGTGGAGTGAATCTCTGCAGTCCCAATCCATTTGGGTTAGCTTTTGCTTCCAGCAGTTTCTCCACAAAAAAAAGTGGTGCCTTGCTCGTTGAGACATAATGCAAAGGTGTCCATCGATTGTGGCATTGGCAGTTTGGGTCCACACCCTGACGTAAAAGGTAAGTACAAATCTCCCTGTTGTGATTTACAACTGAAGCAATCAGTGGGGTTATATAACCCCATTGTCCGCCGGGATAAAGTTCATTAGGGTTCTTGTCTTTCAGTAATTTCTTGACCTTCTTGAGGTCATTGTCAATTATACTCTGGATTACAGGATGTGTTTCTGCTGCTTGAGAGACGCTGAATAACTGTGTGAGGACATCCATTGCTTTGATTCAGATGACCTGTAAGGAGACAAAGTTATGATATATTTTTATAAAGTTTGGCACCATCTAAAACTTTCGACAAGCATCCAAGAATCCGTCATGAGATCCGGAGCTTCATGGGTCAGTCTTTTCGTTTTCCTTAAAGTAGGATCACTCCATCGAAAGTCATTACATTTTCAGAAGAATTTCTGCTCGACAATCTCTAATTTGCCTGAAAGTTTCAAAGCCACAAATCTAGATATTCTTAAATATTACTGANGGTCTCCTTTCTAAGCAAAGCTGTTCCAGGAGGTGGGGGATTATAGCCAGTGACTGCTCATTTGGGATGTCTTCCATTGTACAGAAAACTGCATGCAAACTATCGATAACTCTTTTTACATGTTTCTCATCGATGTTTGGAAAGCGACTGATTGCACCTCTGATGTAGGTATTCACATTTTTGGTTTCCTTCAGCCATTTAATACTTCCCTCTCTGTATTTTCCTGCATATTCCCCAGAATCAGTAAACAGTAGTTCAATTATGGTCAAATGGCTCCGAGGATCTTCCAGTAGCATGTGTTGGTTGAAGGTCCTGAGCACGTTATCAGGTTGTTCTTCTTTCACAGCAATTTCCACATCCAGAAAATATCTGATTTTGGAGCATAGTTCATCCCCTTCAGATGCCAAGCGATGAACCATCTCAGCTATTTTTTTATTGTGAATAAGATGGATTGGAGGTAACAGTGTTACCGAGGCACCAGCAGAGATGAGCAGTTTCATGACATCGTCCCGGTCATGAAGAGCAGCAGTTTGCAGTGGAGTGAATCTCGGCAGTCCCAATCCATTTGGGTTAGCTTTAGCTTCCAGCAGTTTCTCCACAAAAAAAAGCGGTGCCTTGCTTATTGAGACATAATGCAAAGGTGTCCATCGATTGAAGCATGCGCAATTTGGGTCCCCACCCTCACGTAAAAGGTAAGTACAAATTTCCCTGTTGTGATTTACAACTGCAGCAATCAGTGGGGTTATATAACCCCATTGTCCGCCGGCATGAATTACATCAGGGTTCCTCAGTAATATCTGGAGCTTCTCAAGATCATTGTCAGTTATACTCTGGATTACAGGATGTGTTTCTGCTGCTTGAGGGACGCTGAATAACTGTGTGAGGACATCCATTGCTTTGATTCAGATGACCTGTAAGGAGACAAAGTTATGATATATTTTTATAAAGTTTGGCACCATCTAAAACTTTCGACAAGCATCCAAGAATCCGTCATGAGATCCAGAGCTTCATGGGTCACTCTTTATCGTTTTCCTTACAGTAGGATCACTCCATCTAAAGTCATTAAATTTTCAGAAGAATTTCTGCTCGACAATCTCTAATCTGCCTGAAAGTTTCAAAGCCACAAATCTAGATATTCTTAAATATTACTGAGATTTTAGCTTCATATAATGAATACTTTCCAAGATAGCGTTTATTTAAAAATTGCCCATCGACGTTCTTGCAGCACGTTTTCCTGCATATTGAAATTTGAAGCTTTGCTGCAACTTAAACATAAATACCTGAAATTTTCACAGTTATTTCTCATTCTGTCATTGATTCAGAAACTGCAGACAGAATAAATTGTCTCTGATTATGAGTGAGCTGAAAAATGTAAAAGAAAAAACAAATGTACGTCACCTTTAAAAGAGGCCTCTTTAAGCACATACTGTATTACCCAATAATCTGATAATGGGGAGGTNAACTGTGTCTTGTTAGATTTGTTTCCTGGCAAGGCAATGAGTAGTATACAACCAAAAGCTACACAAAAATTGAAAGACATCAGGTGTTCTGGAGTGGTCGAGTAAGAGTCCAGACCTCAACCCAATTGAGAAGGTGTGGCTGGACTTGATAAGCCTGTTTGCTAATGATCCCCATCAACAATGATCCAATGTTGAAAAGCAATAACAGATGAAAACTCCCAAAGGGGGTCAATACTTTTTATAGGCGCTGTAGCAGTGGCTGCAAATGTTAGCATACATTGTTTAATTACCATCAGTTAGTCCTGGATGATAGAATATCAGAGATGAGGCTAGCGTTAGCAGCTCTTTCAACAGTTTAGAGCAGAAGTGAAATCAGAACTTGAGATTATTGTTCCAGTAGTATGATAACAGATCTATCAGTCAGTCAGCATTTCTTTCTTACTTTTCACAAGGCCAGAAGAAGGGATGACTCAAGCATTCTTCCACTGTTGGTCTGTTCTTTGGTTCTTTGTTGATCATCCACTCGATGAGATCCTTTGCCACCAAATCTTGAACATGGTCCAAACTGTACCTTCCATTATGAAGATTGAACTCACGTTCAAAGGTTTTGCCAAATGGATGGTGTCCCCCAGAGAGGATATAGTAGATCAGCATCCCTGCCACCTGAAGAAACAACATTTAATCAGAACAGGTATTTTTCATGCAGTCATCAATTACATTTGTGTTGCAGAAGACTAACCTGTACATCAGTGCTTGACTTGTATGGTATGACAGATTCTTCTGTTAGAGTCTCTGTGGCCATCCAACCAATTGTTCCTGCACTGGCTGTGCGCCAAGTTGTTTGGCCTTGAGGCAACCTCCTACTTATACCAAAGTCAGCTAGTCTCGCCTTCCCACAAACATCTGCAGAAGAAATCATGTACAAAACCTCAGGAAACAATATTATGCACATGAATTATGAATTTAAATATTGATCCTTGTGGAAAAATTTCACATTGTGACTGTCTTACCAATCAAAACATTCTGTGGTTTCAGATCTCGGTGGAGAATTTGAGGGTTTTGACAGTGAAGCATCCTTAAACTGTCAAGAACTTCGTAGGCAAGCTTCTTTTTCATCTGCAGACCACAGTCATTATTTCTCATATGTTCTTCCAAGGTGTNACCTGCTTCAAAAATAAAATACATGCCCACCTGAAAATACGTATACTTATTTTCTTAGTTATATTTCAGACTTGATGTGAGCATAAATGTGCTGAAAATGGGTCAATGGGCATTTTTTAAATCTGGGAAACTATTTGATAATTCAATGTAAAATTGAACACGTACCATGTTATACATCTATTGTTTCTGATAAGAAAAATCCGTATTAGCAAATCAGAGATGGTCGAGCAGACGACCCCTGGTGATTTGAGATGGAATAACCCAAAGTAAATCTGAAGTGTTAGTTTTTAATTTACATAAGAGCAACGACGCTAATAATCAACTTAATGCAGTTATTGTAATGTGACACATTTCTGTATCACATGACATTTAAGTGATATTGCACTAACTTCTGTTGTATTCAAAAAGCAGAAATTATATCCTGGAAACTCCTATCTTGACTCTATGTGCTGAGAAAAGGCAGTTAAGATTTTTTTTTGACTCGTCAGATAAACAGAACCACACTTTGACCTCGCCTGCTGCAACTAGAACTTCCACAGTCCCTCTGGAACTTCACAGCTAAGCTACAAAGCCAACCTAAACTAAACTAAAAGGTTGAGTTTACTTGTACTGTGAGCAGGTCCTGAAGCAAGCACACAGATTCACTTACCATACGACTAAAAGCTAAATGTTAGAGGAATGTGGGGAAACTCACTTACAGTGTTGAAGCTGTAGCAGGAATTTTAAGTCATCATAACTCAACATGCTGTTTCTCTCACTCGCTCCGTCTCTCTGTCTCTTCCTGTTCTCTGCCTCTTCCTGCTCCTCCCATTTCATTTTGGCAGTGCGACAACGTCTCTGCTGCCTTGTTGCTATTTTTGCCCTGCGTTTTGCCTCTCAGGCTCCATACAGTAATCATGTCTACAAGTTAACAGGGTTGTTAATGCTGGCCTGTGGGCCGTTCACCTGCTCTTTGGAAAGGGCTTGACGAAGCCGGCGGACATTCTAAGAGACAGGATCACACTGTCAGACATGCAGAGCTGCCTCAAACAATTTTACAGACATCAAACGGTGGAGTTGTGGACATTCCAGTGCCATCATCCAGCAGGCCACAAACCCAGCATCAAATCATTTAAACCCAGCTGCATGTGAAGGTGGTCTTTTGTATTCACTGACCAAAGGAGTGCCTGTGTGCTGGTCACAATATCTGATCATTATCCTTTAAAGCCTGACAAAGATGTGAATTAACTCAATGGTCAAGAATTTATCAGCAGTGGAAGATCTCATTTTAGCAAAATNTCTTCTATCTGAAAAGTCGTCTCTCAATCTTCCAAAATGAGCGTATGCAGCCTTTTAACAACAGTTTTGGTAAACACGACAATCAAGACCAAAATGCTATGAAAAGCCCTTAAGATACTTTTGCTTATCATATTAAATGGAACAAAGAGAAAAGTTCATGCGTCCTGACACAAGAATGAACGACTGCAAATCTTGCAGAGTGTGTTGATACCTGTGTAGCCGAATGTTGTGGCTGATGCAATTTTCCACCTTCGGCTACGTTTGTTCACATTGTCTTTTGGAATCTGAAGGAAGAGCAGCGCTTTTATAAAAACAAGATATTCTCCACTCTTGTATTAATTTTAGCTAATTTTAGTTAATAGAACTTTCTCATTCAGGTAAAAGTTGTGCTGACGCTGTTCACATGATTCAACTCACAAAGTTCATGGCTGAGAAATGTCCACAAATCATTTTTGGTCCAAGAGTGAGAGCTCTAAGTAAACATTTACATGATCATGTCAAATAACAGATGAATTAGTGAAGGATTGCAGGGAAATAACTTACAGTGTCTGTTGTGGCCTGAGCTCCTTTGTCTGTCGCTGACGCAAGTTTTTTTTTCATTCTGTTTCCTCTTTCTCTGTCTTTTTTTGTCTCCTCCCAAACAGTAAAACACGCTGAACAGCCACGTTATGAAGCAGGTTTCACCTCTTAAGACCTGGTACACATCACATTTTGGGTTATATTAAGGTTACGGGTCCCAAAGATTGCGACTACAGCAACAAAAAGAGTCTTGGTTTGTTGTGTGGAAAAATACAAGTAAAGGTTTACAGCAGGATCGTCTGAGGACGTGGCCGGAAAAAGCCACACCTAAAGGAACCCGGACGGAACAGTACCTGCACATTGGTTCCACTCTCTCGCTTCTTATTGAACTCAGGATTTTAACCACAATAAATGTGAAATAAATTATTGTNTGGGGGATTATAGCCAGTGACTGCTCATTTGGGATGTCTTCCATTGTACAGAAAACCATATTTACACTATCGATAGCTGTTGTTACATGTGCCTCAGGGATGTTTGGAAAGCGACTGATTGCACCTGAGATGTAGGTATTCACATTTTTGGTTTCCTTCAGCCATTTAATACTTCCCTCTCTGTATTTTTCTCCATGTTCCCCAGAAACGGTAAACAGCATTTCAATCATGGTCAAATGGCTCCGAGGATCTTCCAGTAGCATGTGTGGCTTGAAGGTTCTGAACACGTTGTCGGGTTGTTCTTCTTTCACCGCAATTTCCACATCCAGAAAATATCTGATTTTGGAGAACTGATCATGTTCTCTGGATGCAAAGATATGAACCATCTCAGCAATTTTTTTATTGCAGATCAAAGCTTCAGGACGGTCTACGGGTATCAATGTTACCGAGGCACCAGCAGAGATGAGCGCTTTCATGACATCCTCCCTGTTGCCCATAGCAGCAGTTTGCAGTGGAGTGAATATCTGTCGTTCAATGGGAATCCATCCATTTGGATCAGCTTTTGCTTCCAGCAGTTTTGTCACAAAGAAAACTGGTGCCTTGGACAATAAGACATAATGCAAGGGTGTCCAGGGACTTTGGGAAGAACTATTTGGATCCACACCCTGACCCAAAAGGTAAGTACAAATCTTCTGGTTGTGAGTCACGATAGCAGAAGTCAGTGGGGTTATAAAGCCCCACTCTCTGCTGGGGTAAAGTTCATTTGGGTTTGTGTCCTTAAGTAATTTCTGGAGCTTCTCAAGATTGTTGTCAGTTATACTCTGTATGATAGGATGTGCTTCTGTCAGTCGGGGGACTGTTCGTAACTGTGTGATGATATCCATTGCTTTTCTTCAGATTACCTGTAAGGAGACAAAGTTCTGATATGTTGTTGTAGAAATAGGTGTGATTCTAAACTTTAGAAAAGTATTCAAATATCTATGATTAGAACTGGACCTTCATGGTTCACTGTATTTATTTATTTATTTTAAATGGTAATTTTTTAATATTTTTAGAACGCCAAATAAAATTCAATGAACCACCAGCATATGGTCCGTTTTAGTGCAACATACGATAGAGCCAGAGTTCTGGGAATAGTTGACTGTACAGATACAAGGAGTATGTCACCCGGGCTGTGATTCACATCAATAGGAAAATATAACAACTTGGAAAGTCTCACATATTTACTGTTTTTGCTCAGAAATTTTGCAACAGGTTGAGAAAATACAGTCCAGTTGACACTCACTCAAACTAACGGAATTTGTCCCTCTCATGTGGCTTTCATGCAAACAGGAGACCTAACTCCTCCCTAAACCTCAACCAGTCAGTCTTATTGTGCTATGACCTGTCATGAACTGTAACAGCAGTCGCAGAAAGAGGACACACGGGCCAGAAACATTTTCCAAATCTGGGAAAATCTCTGATGCATCAGCTTGTCAAATGCACCATCGAAATAGAAAGTAGGATAAAATCTTGCGTCATTAAATAATCATGACAATGTATTTCGAAAAACAATACATCTACATGGATGAGCACACAGATCATTTTACCACAGGCCCATAGTCTTGCGGTAAATGTTGAGCACAAAAGTTTCATTTCCATCCAACTTAAATGGCTTCTGTACTACATTTTTAGGTGAAAATATTTTTTTCTGTTTATTTGTGATGTATCTCGAATACATTTTCAATCAACATATGTTTGCAATTACTTGCAAATACACAAAGAAGGACACTTATTCTTCTCCCTCTCTTAGGTCAGAACCATCCTCTCAGGCAGGAGTTGTGTCGATGGTGTTCACAGAAAGTAAAACTGATATCTGGGAAATATCCAGATATACTTTTTGGTGACTCGGATGAAACCTAGTATTTTTAAGTAAACATTCATGATGCTGGTATCAAATAATGGATTATGAATAAGAGTACATTCACACAGACTGTTTTACAATACAGTGTTACTGGCAATTACTTCATATTATTTTGTAAAGGTTGTAGGAAACAAAACTTACAGTGCTGAAGCTGGGTGTCTGCCATAGCTTGGGTCACGTCTGTCACATCTCTGTGCTTCTTCAGTCTGTTTCTGACTCAGTCTTTTATCTTCCTCTTCCTGTTTGAACTTTTCTTGCTCCTCCCAGAAAACAGCCACGTTGTGAGGCAGGTTTTATGACACTGGAGACATTTATTGCAGCTGACAACTGCTTTCTCGATTGTAGATATTTGCTTACAATTGAGATAAAATATATTGATATGGACAAAAAAGCATCTCCTTGAACGTTTGAACCACTCACAAAGAGTTCCCTGTACTTCTTCTTGAGTCCCTGGTGGCGCTCTTGCAGCAGGTTGGCCATCAGTTTTTTTGCTGGTCTCGTTGCTGCTGACACACCAGGAACAACAGAAAACACAGCACAGAGAGAAGAGAGCAGTGCACTTATGAAATTCCAGATTGTGGACGGACTTAACGATAGCTCAACTTATTAATTAAATCAAACAACAATTCAACATAAAGGAAAAAGTTTGTGTTGTTCCAACACGTGACATTAACTGTTTACAAGTAAACATTAATTTTATTGTTCATTTTGTATAGAAAAATACAACAATGCCTTACAAAGTGCAGCAATATAAGTGGACAAAATATTAAAAATGCTAAAACTGTTAAGATAGCTATAGTAGTAAAAAACTGTATCATCAGACCATCATACAAAGTGCAGAGCAGTCTGCAGAGTGCAACTAAAACAGGATGAAACACACTTTCAGATCGAGTACGTGTCTTAGTCATCGGTTCTCCTTTTCTAAGAAGAACAAGACTGAAACAAGGCGGTACAACACAGGTCTGTGGTTAAGTGGAGACACAAGTGCAAAAAGTTACAGAGAGGCCACAGGGTATGACGGATACAAAAGGTTACTGAAAGGTCAGAAGGTTATAAAAAAACATGCAAATGAGAAGCTACACTCAATTTCCATTACAGTATAAAAGTAAAAATAGAATAATTCATTGTACGGATAATTGAGAAAGAAGACAATGTCACAAAACAGAAATACTAAAGTGAAAAGAAAATCACCAGCCTTTGGAAACAGCTTCACAGGCTTATTTCATATGACACATTCTGATACAGTAAGAAGAGCTCAGATGTAAACCATCAATCAGAGCATGAACTCTGTCACGTCTCACTGTGACTCTCAAATAGAAAACAAGGCTCCGTTGATGTTAGCATGTTAACACCTTTACTGCCATGATTACATGTGAAGTGTCTGAGTGTGTCTTCGTTTTCTTGTTTTCTTTGCTTGTCAGATTTTGAAATCATTTTCAAGGTCTTTCATCCTTCTTTAATTCAGCATCACTGGGTTGAGTCTCTTGAACTGGGGCACTCGGATGGTCCTCAGCGTTTGTGGCTTGAAACTCAAA